CTTCCTTTCTTCCCCCCCCCCCCCCATGCGCCCCTAAGAGATGCCGCCTGAGGCAATAGCCTCAAGCTGTCTCATTATAGGTACGCCACTGACCAGGAGTGTCAGATTATGCTGGATCATCAGACACCGGTTTCTCTTGGCTACAGCAGAGATCATGAGCAGAAGAAGAAGTGAGCATTCAAGGTGTTCTTTACAGGGAGGACTTTATTGTAATATTTTATATTAGGCACAGAATTGATTTAATCCTTGCACATAAAGTTCAGAACATTCTATGTAGTTGTGTAACTGTCCAAGATAGTCATGAACTGTAGATGTTGTTTCGTCAAGTTCTAACCTGGAATTGTGTTCTTCTTCTTCTTCTTTCCAAGTTTTGGGAAGTGATCAGTGACGAACATGGCATCGATCCAGCAGGAGGCTACGTCGGTGATTCAGCTCTGCAGCTTGAAAGGATCAATGTGTACTACAATGAATCATCCTGTGAGTGTCTCATAAGCAGTGCTAGGAAGTCATGACATGGGCTGGGTGCATGTGGTGGGAGGATCTGTATTGTCTTGTATGTGCACCAAAGGGACCCTTACATTTCTGCACATAGGGCTGTAAAGAAGAGTAACAAGTATTCTATCCTAAGGAGTTATAGTTCATCATTAGAGAATTATTATCACACAGAGGACAACTAGAATGTACTGTTAGAGTTAGAATCCTGCCTGGGTTACTTGCAGAGCAAGCACTGAGATGTAGTTCAATAAACTTAAAGTGACATTAAACCCTCAGATTTTTTAACATAAAACAATACTGTAATGTGTGCCTTACTGTAATCCATGGTTGTTTCCCTTCTCTTTGCTGCTCTTCCTTTTAAATCCTCATCTCTTCTCATGCTTGGGGAGAACTTCCCTTTGCAGCTGAGTGCCTCTTCCTGTAGTGCTGGCTTAAGTTGTGAACCTACACACAGACACCATGTATCCATTTCCGAGACAAGGCACTCTGCTGCAAAACAGAAGTTCTGCCCAGCATGGGAAGAGATACGGATTTAAAAGGAAGAGCAGCAAAGAGAAGGGAAACAACCATGGATTACAGTAAGGCACACATTACAGTATTGTTTTATGTTAAAAAATCTGAGGGTTTAATGTCACTTTAAGACAAAGATAAGTGAATAAAAACCGAGCTGTAGAGAGTTCTGTAACTCCTTAGAATCCCAAACCCTAAATGTATCCAGAGGTGGCAGAGACACAATTATAGGCACACATAGTACAGTACATCATGTCTGGTGCTTTCCCCTTACCTTACACTAGGTCATGACATGGACACGTTCGTCATGACATGGGCTGGGTGCATGTGGTGGGAGGATCTGTATTGTCTTGTATGTGCACCAAAGGGACCTTACATTTCTGCACATAGGGCTGTAAAGAAGAGTAACAAGAATTCTATCCTAAAGAGTTATAGCTCATCATTCTTTTGGAGGGTAAAGACCCTCCTGCTCAAGGAAGCCATACATTTTCATGGATGTTTTTCAGGTACCTGTGCCGGAGCTTAGATTATTATTATACAGGATTTATACAGCGCCAACAGTTTGCGCAGCGCTTTGCCGTATAAGGACGGCATTACAATCACAAGACAAGATGGTAAGGAGGGCCCTGCCCGTGAAGGTTACAATCTAAAAGGGATATTAAGTTAGATAAGTATAATAGTCAGCATGTGCTAATTAGTGTAGTTAAACTGTCTTTTGATGTAGTGTTTCTGTATTGCCGGCCTATGTGGCAGAGGACATTGGTTACTTCACGGTACAAACTTTTTTCAAATGTATTTAGCATTTTACTGCATTTACCAAGCTTCATATTAAAAATACACCATAAAGTACTCTCAAGTACCTGTCTGTCTTGTTAGTCTCTAACCTTCTTCCAAGTGCCATGGGGGGTCAGGGCCTAATCGCCACCTGGAGATTAGTCAAGGCCCTGTGTGCAGCCATTACTGCATACTTCTCATGAGACTTTTACTATGCCTGCCACATAAAAATATATATAAAAAACAGGGCTGGGGAAATTAATGATTAATTCCTCGATTAATCTTTAAACTTTTTGATCGATTCAAATTCTTTTGATTGAAAATAAAAAAAGACTCACCTCTCCGCCGGCTTCCGGGAGTCCCATCGGAGATCTGCTGACGTCAAGGACATCGACGTCACCGGACTCCTCCCCCCTTCCCCAAGTGGCTCCGTCGGCTAACGAAGGTAAGGGGGGAGGAGTCCGGTGACGTCGATGTCCTTTAAGAGGGGCAACAAGCGAAAGTCCGCCATGGTAATGAATCGCTTTTGAGCGTCTGTTACCACTCATTGTAGGATCGTTCTATTGTGTGGTCTTGGCAAGATATAGACGTAGAAGTAGCTTTCCAGATGTCCAAATTAGGGCCACTTTAGTCAGACATCACACAGCAAACTTGTGTCAGGGTTAAATTGTAATTCTTGTTAACTTGCTGCACACATTCCTGGCAAGTTGTAGACTTGCAGAACACTTGCAGCACAAGTTCTAGTTGTCACTTTTTGAATTTGTAGCAAATGTGCTTGGCAACTCTACAGCAAGAGTCCTGTAAGTCTTATCAAGAGCTCTGCAAGTGTACAGCACTTCTGCAAAGCACGTTGATCTGGAGACTTGCAATGCAGACATGCTGTAATCGTGCAACAAAATTGTGAAGCTTGGCAAGTCTGCAATAGATTAGCAAGTCATTTTCAAACGTGCAGCTCAATTGCTTGCTATCTGGGCAGTTATCCTCCATGCAAACCCAGGGGGAACATACAAACTCCAGGTAGACAGTGTCCTAGAATTTGTTAAAAAGTTGCTACTATTATGAACTTATGCATTGACAACCACACAGCTGATATAATAGGTGTCACACTATAGTGCACATTGATTGAGTTTCTCCTGTAATCCAGATATAAAAAACATTTCTTTACAGCCAAATACATTAATAAGTTATCTATTCAGATGGTGAGCACCAGTACTGTTGGTTGCACTCTGGATGCCTTTTTTGAAAAATGCCTCACACTGCTCTCATACTGGATACCGTTACTCTCTTCACTGTTTATTTTGGCTGTTGTCACACAGCTCTGTCTTCTTGGCATCTTCCCTCCCCTCATCTGCTTTGTGTGAAACAAATTATTTTTTTCTCGGTGTCACAGCTAAAATAAACCTGTCCATCGGATTTCAGATCCTTCTGTTAATGTTTAGGATTGTTTGGGTCGTAAGATCAACATATATAACTGTATACATATTTTGGCAAGCAGAGCCCAAAACCCAACCCTAGATGTCACTCATGGTCTTCTGCCTTTTAGATAAATCATTTTAGAAGAAGAGAGTACTGATACATAACATAAACTTAGTTGCTTCCGGTGTTACTGCACACAATATGTAGCAATGTTTGCAGTCCTTGCAGTAGGTGACAGTTTTTACAGCACTGTCTTCTAACTCCTCATTTATAAGCATAGGTTTAGGATAGGCTTTAATGGTGTAGAAGAGTGTTTCCCAACCTTTTTTTCAGTCACAGCACCCTTTAAAAGTGCAAAATCTCAAAAACCCCAGTCTAAAATAAAAAAAAAAAGGCCATGTGGCCCCTGCAAAAGCCATACACTCTCTTCTTATCCCAGATAGCGATCTGGTATGTACTTTTAGGAGGGACCCGACGCAAAAAAACATCAGAAGCCACCCTTCACATTGGGACCTCCTTCACATCAACGTGCCTCTTTACATAAGGAGTACATATCTTTGTTTCAAGACCCCCATTCACATCAGAGTCTCCTGTTCACATCACAAGATCCCCTTCACATCAGAACCCCCCCCCCTTTTATATCAGAGCCCATCTCCACCATGCTAAGGCATGACACTGTGAAAATTTCGAGGAACCCCTGAGAAGTCCAGTAGGCAACCCTGGTTTAGCAAGGCTGGTGTAGAAGACTATATACCATACCCTATAGTAATTAATTTGAAACTGGCACAAGCTTTGCAAGTCTGCATTACTGAATTCCAGACATTTAACAACATACAGCAACACCATCCCAGTTCATGCTGTACGTTTCTATAGGTTTTCATGCTGAAATAAGGTAATACGAAAGGAAAAACCAAAAGTGCCAGCCCAAGATCAGATCTGGGCCATAAAGAAACCAAAAAGAGCCAAAAGACAGAAAAGAGAGAAAGAACCAAGTGGAAGCACGAAAAGGAAAGAGAAAAAAGAAGAAGGAAATTCCCAAGCGGCAAACTCATATACAGGGCCATACCTATAAAGGGGGCATCTCCGTGGGTCCCACGGAGATGCCGTGGGTCCCACGGAGATGCCTCAGGGGGCATCTCCGTGGGTCACATAGTGGGGGCGGCAGGTGTGCCTGCTACTCCCTTTCCAGCCAGAGTGTCCCAGGTTGTTAAGAGCTCTTAGTAACCTGTGATGCTATGGCCACCGTCCTGCCCAGGTCATTGATGCCAGAAGCTGAGCGGGATGCTGGACAGAGCTGGACCCAGAGGTAGCAGCCACTCCCGTCCCCCACCCCGGTAATGTTCGTCATCACCATACCCAATCCCCCCTGGTATTGTTCGTCTGAAGGGACACCCCTACAGGGGGACAGGGACACCTTAGTAACCTGTGATGCTATGGCCGACGTCTTGCCCAGGTCATTGATGCCAGAAGCTGAGCGGGATGCTGGACAGAGCTGGACCCAGAGGTAGCAGCCACTCCCGTCCCCCACCCCGGTAATGTTCGTCATCACCATACCCAATCCCCCCCTGGTATTGTTCGTCTGAAGGGACACCCCTACAGGGGGACAGGGACACCCCTGCTCACATAGAGTTTAAAGTCTGAGAGTAGGAGAACCAAGGTTGCCAGGTTAAAAGAAGCTTGGCATGGGTATCCGCCAATATGGCAGTCACTTTTTTATCAATCATGTTAGTCTGTTTTTAACCTCCTAAAAGCTTAGAGAAGGTGACCCCCAGGTTTTATCATTAGTTTATCCAGTGACAATAAATATAAACCTGTACTGTTTTATCTAATACTCCTGTATTCTTCAGCCAAGGTTTGGTAAAGGTCTGGAATGTGTTCCACTAACTTCATTCCCATGTAGGTGGCAATGCTCTGTGGTATGATAAACCTCTTATAAATCACTAAGGTCAACCTTTGTAGAGACCTTATAACACATAGAAGAAAGTCAGATCTATGCTGTTACTCATTCCCTGTGATGTTTTATTCACGTCAAAGTGTCTGCTGCACATATAAAGACTAATATGTATACATAACCTCCATTCTAGTAAAACAGTTCTGTTTACATGGGACTGGTGGGAATGCCGGTATGATCAAAATGTTCATTTCAAGACTAAAAATGGAACTGTTTGTGCTCTCACAGAGCAGGCCTGTGCAAGGATTTCTTGCAGCACCATAAACTCAATATTTCATCACCCTGAGAGACAATAATGTTTAAAAGAAGGAACTGCAATCTTCAAATAATG